AAATTTTTTTATAATTATTTATTTTCAAGGCAGCTTTGTAAAATTTCAATCTTTATATTCTCTGTGACCATTTTAGAGTAATAATATATGAAATATATTTCAGATGTTTCCCATAATCGTTTTACACGACAAATAACTTTTATCATAGACTATCGAGTGTGAATTTTATCGAATCCATTCNTGTAAAACGTGCTATACAGGTGTCCAACCGTGATTTACTAATTTGACTACATAAACTAATGTTAAAATTAGTTAATCACAGTGGGACATTATATACATAGGTTATACAAAAATGCGTCCCATATACTTAAGTTTTAGGTATACAAATAACGATAATAATACTTCGGCGGAAACACGTAGGTAAAGAAACCGAATTAATATAATTTGTAGAAGGTATGCACAAAGGAACTATAGGTCCGAGTGAATGGGTAGACCTTGCCAACCTCTCTAATAACTAAAACTGTATGTACATATTAATGTATTTTTTGTATAAATTTGTACATTAATTCTTAATAAAATTTTAGTTAAATAATTATAAGTTCAGTAAATTTAAAATTTATAATTCAATAAAATTGAATTTTAAATAATTTTATTTTAAACTTTAAATTTTAGAATAAAATAAGCTCTGTAGTCATCCAAACATTCTAACTATAATGATCAATAATTATTATTTTTTAACTTATTTAAATGAAATTAGATTATCTCAATATAGTGAAATTTTTTTATAATTATTTATTTTCAAGGCAGCTTTGTAAAATTTCAATCTTTATATTCTCTGTGACCATTTTAGAGTAATAATATATGAAATATATTTCAGATGTTTCCCATAATCGTTTTACACGACAAATAACTTTTATCATAGACTATCGAGTGTGAATTTTATCGAATCCATTCGCATTTGCTTTAACAATACTTCAAAAATGAAGTTTAATAGCAGAGGAAAAATATTTAACAATTCTACAGATGGGCCATTTCAAAATTATGAGTTATTTCAAGCATCTTTTTCCTATACAATAAAATATATTTCTTGGAGTTTTCGCTCCTAATTACTTATTAATGTTTACGTAACTTCGTTAAGCTTATACATATAATATTTAATATGTTTGCGTTATTTAATTTAAAATTTGTTTAAATTTTAGGGAGAATGAGATAATGTTAAGAGAAAGTAATATTTTAAAAAATATCTGCATATAAGCTTATTATATATATCTATACATTTTGCAAAAAAATTAACATAAACAATAGCTATAATTTGAAACAAGAAAATTAAACAAAAATTCTGTTGAGCTATTTACATATCAATAAAATAATAAAATAGATTTAATAAATTTTTTTAATATTTACTCAAACTATAAAATACACACCTAAAGAAAAACCTCAATCAATTTTAATAGAGAAATTTTATCAAGGGTTTGTGATAATGTTTTATTAATACGAATAAAATAATTATTCTTATGAATAATTATTGTTCAAGACAAAAAAAAAAATCATCATATTGATAAATATATCATAGATTCAATAGTAATGATANAAAAAAAATTATCATATTGATAAATATATCATAGATTCAATAGTAATGATATATTTATCAAATTGAACAATGAATTTATTATATAGATCGAGGTTTTTCTCTGGGTGCATAAACACTAACATTCAAATTTTTTTACTAGATAGTTTTTATCTTATGGTGTAAAATCATTGTTTATAACAAAATATCGAAAAAAATATCAAATATTAAAAAAATTTTTAATTAGATTTTCTTTTTATGTTGACCTAAAACTGACCATTTTCCGTATAAAGTTAAAAACGATAACATTAATTAACGTAAAACTACGCTTATAAAAATAATATTTCATTTAATAATTGTTATTAATTACTTTATATATACATATATATTTTTTTATTAATTATTCACAACATACGCATGAATAATCTAACGTTATATATTAAACAATTTTTTTTTTTATTGTATAGGTGACTCACAAGGTTCTTTTTTAAAGTATTTGCATTGCATACGAAAAGTATAAAGGAATTTTTTAAAAGCTTGTTGAACACTGTATATATTAAGAAAAGTTGGAAAAACTGTTTTTAATTATTTGGGTCAAGTTGATAGTTGAATCTTGAAATCGACTAAAGTTTTTTTAAGAATAATTTGATTAAACATAATAATCATAATTTTATATTACTCAATCTATTGGAGATATTGTTGGAACTAATGAAGTCGATTGTTACACAAATATAAATACTTAGTTGATTTTCTCTGACTAAAAAGAAGTCTATGCTGAATTAATATAACGAGATAGGAGTAGGAGACAAAATTTATTAAAGATTCTACCATTAATCCTTGGACGCTATTAAATACCTAAAATATAATTGTTTAATATATAAATTTAATGGATTAAAAAAAAAAATTGTTAAGCAAATTTGATTTACTAGTAAAGATAACATTTGAAAATTGGAAGTTAAAAGAATAACTTGAAATAATAGTAGAAAAATATTAACTTCGAAAAACTAAAATGTTCTCATAAAAATGTATAAAACAACTATGTTTTATACATTCACTCATGTTTAAAACCCCTTGTAATTACTCTCCGTATGTCAAAAAAAAATTTTCCTATAATGCAAAAAATTCTGAATGAGCGCGATTTAAAAAAAAGTATTTTTTATCCACGCTTTTATAGTTCTGTTTACTAAAAATCTGATTTGTACACTTTACAAATTATTTTTTTATACTTTTATTTTCACAAATATTAAAATGAAACAAAGAATAGATGAAGTCATTTGAAGCCAAAGTCAGTTTATATATATTATTTTTTTTATATCATAAATGAAAAGCGATAATTCTAATTAAAAATTACAACGATAATGAAAATATATCATAAACTCTGTGCTACTGAATACACTACAAATATGATTAAGTAAATAATATTACAAATTATGAAATTACAAAGTATTACAAGTTATTGAAGTAGAATAAAACTGGTAGGCAGAGAAGGTCGAGTCTTATGATGAATATCTCAGTTATGCATCATAGTCAAGAATTCGAATCTTAAAAGTTTTCAATATTATAAATTATGAAAAATTTAATTGAGGAAACATATACACAGAATTCATAATTAATTGAATCTAGTTTTTATACTATAAAATAATTTTCATTAAATAAATTTAAGAAAAGTATGTGATTTCAAACATTAATTGGATATGATATCTATAATAATTTTAAGTGCATACTATCCAGTTTGTCAACTTTATGTAAAATCGATTACATTGTGAACATTAAAAGGAAATATACTTATAATGATGTAATTTTGTGAAATATTAATTTAAAAAAGTTTGTTCGACTATATACCAAGTCTTCCAAAAGTATACATTATGTTTTGATTCTGAGAACGGTCATCTTTTGTGTCATAGCTTAATTGAAAGGGTATCTTCTGTTTTCATAATTGTACAGAATAAGTTCAAAACCAAATAGTGCCACCACTTAAATAGACAAGTAACCATTAAGTGTCAACTGTTTCATTCTCCTACTGTTATATTATTTTTATGATATCAACATTTAATTACGTTCTATAGGAAATTCAAAACATTTGCTTAAAGTTTATTTTGAGCTTACTACGATTTGTTGACATAGCTCATAAAAATTATGCTTGAGATGCATAGTGTACAGATGTAGTTAATTAACTTTTGACGACCAACAACTTGTAAATATGATGTAGGTAATTATTAATTAACACTAATATAAAATATTATAATATTATTTATTAATGATTTATTAAAATAATGTTATTAAAGTACAAACTCTTATTTCCGCATCTAATTTATTACAAATATTTATCAGTATTTTTGGTAATATACAACACAACTAAATGAGTAAAATATCTACTTGAATCTAATATGGTAATTTTAATGTCATATAATGTGTTTTTTATTCGTGCCACATTTCATTTCATAAATGACTTATAAAATATTTTAATAAGTAAAAAATTAATAAGTTTTCTAAAAAAAGACATATTTATTGTTTATAAATATTTTTATTTATTTTTATTATAAAAAGGATACTACACCATTCACACATAATTTTTCATCGCTCAATTTGACATACGATTATTATCATACTAATATAAGTTTATTACTTAATATATCTTGAAATATTTTATAGGGCATATAATTAAAAATATATATAATAATAACATAATAAATATACAAACAATTTAGTAGATATTGACACTTGTCGTAAATATTCGAATACTAACAATAATATTGTAAACAATAGTAAAACTTTGACTAATCAATGATTTTGGAAATATTAATTTCTGTCTATATATTCATGTCAATAGTATATAATAAATCCTTTGATTTTTAGTGTAATTATGATCTAATCACANATGTCAATAGTATATAATAAATCCTTTGATTTTTAGTGTAATTATGATCTAATCACATTAAAAATTATAGGACTTTTATGTTAATATCATAAAAGTGAATTAATAAAATTCTGAACAACACAGTTATATTTAATAACTGTTTTAACATGTTGAAATAAGTTTTGAGGTGTTACTTACAAATATTAGAATGATTTAGCTATATAGTTATGTTGTATTTTTAGTTGAATAGAATGTTAATACATAATTTAGTATTATTGGAATTCACGTATTATGAACGTTCATTTTATAACTGTTGTTTTAGAATTGGACAGACGGCGAAAATGAACAAAAATTGTGACCAAGAGATACAAATGGCAGATACAGTATCAGCTTCAAGCAATGATTCTAGAAATTTCCGATTGAAAACTCTCAGGTTGCCGTTAAATATGAATCCACCGTCATTAAACTTGAGGTATTTAATGTGTGGATGTAGTCTGCAAATTGATAAAATAAATGGTTAAAGTACAATCTTCAATATAATGAAATCAATAAATATAAAAAATTAATCGACTTTTATGTATTGCTAATAAATATAAAGTCAATGAATTTTTGATGATGTTAAACTACGATTACACAGTATTTTATTAAGTCTTCCACTCTTTGTTATGATTTTTTCGGATTTAGTCGAAAATGATGCTATGGATTTTGGTTTAATGGTTTCTTGTAGTTAAATAATACCTAAGTTATCGCTTTTATTAGTGACTCAGTTACCTTCAAACACACTTTATCTTTTGTTGGATGATATGAAATGGCTAATGTCTTCTGAACTAAACGAATAATGACATATGAAATAGTTCAAAAATATAAATGTTTACGTCTTTATCAAGAATATTGGAAAAAAATCATATCAAGATTATTGAGAAGTTTGAAATCGAAAAAATGATCTATACATTAAAAATATATTACATTGTGGTGTCATATTAAAAAAATTACTGAAGAATATTTTGAATATTAAACAAGTTACATGCAATTGAGTAATTATAATGAGTCAACATTCACCACCATAACTAACTTCAGAAATATATTTATTGAATTCTTTTAAATTTCTTGAAAAACTTAAGTTTTTTACTTTATAAAATATTATTACAATTAAGTTACAATAATTATAGTTAAATCCTGTTTTTAATTTATATGAATATCTATTATGTATCATCAAGAATTTATTGTGTTTTTATTTATTTATTTATCTTTATAGCAATGGTATCTCTATCTATTAGCTAAGAGAACTTACAATAAGTTTACTCTAACAAAAATACGTATACAATGATATTAACACAAATATAACATGAACAATATTTTTCTGTAATATACAGATTAATAATAGAATTATTTTTTAAATTTCTTTATGTATGATTGTTTTACTGAGGAATTTAACCGTTTTATTTTTTTGTTCATCTTCATCGAGCCCGGGCTTACGTCTAATATATGGTCTATGTTGTTATTTTCTTTAATGTCTTCGAATTTTCGACAATCTGCTAAAATATATTTTACTGTTGTGGCGATGTTGCACATTTGGTATAATGGTTTTTCATTTTTGTCAAATATATAGATGTGGGTAAGTCGGTTGTAGCCTTTTCTGAGTCTCTTCATTTTTATTTCTTCGTTCCTGCTAAATGAAACAGAATTTGGCCACAAATACACTAAGTTTTTGATCTCGTGGAGTAAAATTATTTTGCTATTTTGTTTGCCATTATTTTGTAGTATGTATTGTGTCTTTTAATATAAGTTTTTTATTTATATTGCTAGGGAGTTATGAATTGCGCTTTTAGCTATCTTATCAGATTTTTCATTACCATCAATATCACAATGACCGGAAGTCCATGTAATTACTACCACCTTGTATGTATAAGCATATTCACACTTGAGGATATGCTACTATTGTGTTTTGTGCATTGCTTTAATGTTTCTGGTACTGCGGTTATGGCCTTATCATTTTCTTGTTTAGAGGTATCGATAAATATATAATTGTAATCGTGATACTGTTCGAGCATTGCTCTCATATTATCCTTATAAATGAAAGGAATTGATTCTATTTTTATAAAATTAGTTCAGTATTTATGTTGAGATAGTACGTATATTAAAAGTGTGTTCTTAACTGAAGATTTAATATTATTGACAATGAAGTTGACTGCTATTAGGAATAGAGTGACAGATAAGGCTGAACCTTGAGGTACTCCATATATATTAGATTATGATGTTAATGTTTTTGACTTGAAAGGTTCTATTACTAAAAATTCCACAATGATAATGTACATATTATTTTTATTTAACACTTTGCTTAACTGTTTTAATATTTTGTATCTACAAGTGGTATCGTAAGTTTTATTTATATCCAATCTTACCAGTCCTAGTAATACTTAAAAAAAAAAATTTCATTTTTAAATTTGATGAACATTAGGTTGCATGATGTAGATCATTTATTGCGAAAACCCCTTTGTTGGCGGATAAAGAAAGATATTTTTTCAAAAATTTTACACAAAGTAATAAGTAATGTTATAGGTCTGTAAATGTCTTCATTAAATTTTTATTTACCTGGTTAATGAATTTATATAATCACACCTTTTTTCCAGTTAACAGAGAATTTGCCTTCTTTGTAAATTTTATTACATAGATTTTATACAAGTTTATATAGTCTATATAGAAATTAATTCTGTTATATCTATATTATAGATATAACAGAATTAATTTCTAATTATGTATGAAAGACTAAAGAACATCATTAGGATCAGCACTTTTAATTTTACATTTTTTATTGTTGTCTCTAATTCATCCATATTTTATCATATTATAGCATGATATGTTATATATTTTAACTATATCTGAAATACTGTTGTAGGTTCCTTAGCAGTTCTAAGTTATTTTTTCCGATCTTACGTTTGTATTTTTTAAATTCTTCAGTGTAGTTATTGTCGTTACTGTTTTGATAAAGTAGTTAGCTTTTATGTTATAATAATGTTGTTATAACGTTTTTATAACTTATAATGTCATAAAAATTTTTCTATAACATTATTTTTTAAATTTGCTGTCTAGGTAATTTATTAGCCATGTCTTCTGGATTTGTTATTAAATATGATTTGTCTTCGTTAACTAACTAAATAATACTATTAAGGTAAAGTGCTTTTAATGGCCGTATTTTATTCCATATTAATTTGGCACTGGTTTAATGGTTTATAATATTTATAAATCACCAAAAGATTTCTTTTTACTAATTTTTATCAAGAATTTAACCGTAGTTCTTGCTTGTTTAAGTTAGATAAAATTTTTTTTTCTTTTTTTTTTATTCTTAGTAAACACGGTTTTTTAATTCTGATTATTTCTTTTATTTCTTTATTCCACCAAGGTACCTTACCTTATAGTACTCTTACCTAAGGTTATTTCAGCTGTTTCTAAATTTGCTTTAGTTAAAAACTTAAATAATTGTTCTATAATTTGATTTTCAAAATCCGAGAGGTTTTCAATTTTTTGGTTGTGATGAATATAAATTGAGTAATTTTAGGTTACAATTGATTACATTGATTTGGTGTTTGTTATCTAGTCTTGGCATGAACTAAATTATTATAGGTATATGTCGCCTGATATTAACCATTCCAATTATTGAGCTAATAATAGGTTTGCCATCCTTAGATTTATTAATGAAAATCTCCTATTCTTGTGGATTCACCGTTATTGAGTAATATGAGGTTTTGTCCTATATGTTTCTAATTCTTTAGCACTATCGGTAACTGGTTAAAATTATTTATTAGGCCTGTTTCATTGAATGTTGATTAGGAGGGAAATATTTCAGACGTTAATTATTGAGTTAGATAGTTGTACTATAACAATAGTAGTTTGTAAGAACTTATTGATATTAATCTGTGTACTAGGCAAGTTATTATTAATGTACATATCAGTACCTCTACTAGCTCGATGACAATTAGTGAGTTTTTATTGTTGTAATATATTTCTACTTGATTAATTTTAAAATGAAAAATATTTATTTATAAAAATAACTTTGAATTTTGTGATTATGCCAATTTAATATAAAGAAAACATTGTTCATACTAAGTAAAATTAAAACTATATTAAAAATATTATTAATTGAAAAACTAAAAAATATTAAACTAAAAAGCCACAAAAAATTACTGAAAAGTCGCGAATACGTATTTCGGAAACAATGTTACCATTATCAAAGCTAAACACATTCTTTGATATTTGCAATGCATTATAAATTAAATTACATTTTAATTTATACATTATGGAAATCATTATTAAAAAAAAAAATAAGAAGGGGTAGTATAATTTATAAATCAATAAATCTTAACATATAGTTAAAAAATTGACTCTTTATAACTCATTAATAAATTATCTAAGTTAATTAATTTTTTCAAAAAAATTTAAACGCTAAAAATTGAAAAAAAAATCAAAATGTTTTTTTTCTACTATCGAAGAAGTAAGACATTGATTCTGCATGTAAATCTGGTTCAAAGTCAATACACTAAAAATACACCAGTTGTTTTAGTACCCAGAAGTATAAAATATCTAGGAGTAAAATTATTGATATAAAAAAATGTAAATATAATGATCCTTTGACAAGTGTTAATCTTGTCTACTTCCTTCTTAGGAAATTGATCATAAGCCTAAATAAAAATATTTATTTAATTTCGATACTAATATTGAATAAAAAAAAAAGAAAATAAGTCATTTTCTAGATTTAACATTTTTGTATAAAAATGAAACAATATTTTCTATTTAATTTAAATTTTGTTCCCTTTAGCTGTAGATGTCTAAAATATAAGAACAATAAACTGATTTTATTTATGATAAGAGCTACAATTTTGCTTATTTAATTTGATTAATCAAAATGTTGACAGATTCCTTGCCAACCGACAAAAACGTCAGAGTTTAGCAGCTGCTAACGCTGTAAGAACCGAACAAAAAGCTAGTAAAGTACTAGGAGTCGTATTTTTTACATTTGTCTTGTGTTGGTCACCATTTTTTTTGTTGAATATCGTTTTTGCTGTGTGTCCAAAAGAAGATTGTCCCGTACCAGAACACGTAACTGAAGTATGCTTGTGGTTAGGTTACGTATCGTCGACGATCAACCCAATAATTTATACAATATTTAATAAAACTTTTAGAGCTGCTTTTATCAGGTAATTTAAAACTTCTCAAAGGAAAAGTAAATAAATAAATAAATAATTAATTTTAATTATGAAAAATAGCTAGATTTTATTTATGATTAGTTAAATTATATCTACTAAAGGTATCAATTCATCTTAATTATTAATATTAATTATGATAACTTGATAATTTTCATCTACGTGAAACGATATTATTGTTTTACGAAGATAATAATGTAAACTTTTATAATAAATTATTATTTATCATAATATGGTATTTTAGGTTGTTAAAGTGTCATTGTCATAAAACTAGACCTCATAGGTACAGATCAGTGACTGATAACAGACATTCAGCATTGATAAGCACGCCATCGGGGGCCGCAACAGGAGCCGCCAATGTTTCTTTGTCATTATCACTTCAGACAACACCATTGACGTCTCCACCAATAAACAATCCAGCTACATTGAAAAAAACATCATCGACCACTTCATCAAAATATCCAGATTCACTGGGAGTCGAGGAAGCCCACAAAACAATGAAGTTCTAATTGCGATTATTTTATTTTACCCTAAAAAATCGTGTTATTCTTCTCTTTATTATTGGGTATAATTCATGTGGTAATCCGTACATATCAATTTTTTTGATTTTCGGTGATAAATTACCTATTATTGAGAGTTGAAAGCTTATTTGTGGTTTCAACTTAAAAAGTGCGTGTCACTAACTTAAGTATTAAGTTCTGTTAAACTATTTATAATGACATCACTATAAAAGGCAATTTGTGTTGGAAAGATGGCGAAGGACGCTAAATTTTCTGAACACAATATATGTATTAAAAGTACTTTAAGAAAAGAGTTAAAGTTTGAGTCGTACTTTACCCATTATTTCTGAAATGAACAAATAGAAAACCTTAAAAAAATAACTTATTGGCTTTATTTGAATACAGTGACGAGTTTACATTTCAGACATATTACATATATCAAAAATATTAAATACACAATTTGGAGTATTATTTAATTTATCAAATAACTCTCATTATGTTGTTTAACAAACTTTTAGTACATCGTCATTACATAAATACTGTCTACCTTTATAATCTTGAAGTTTTTTTTTTGTAGTTATCTTTCTCGTGATATTTAATTAATGTATCTCCTGAATTGTTTTATGAAGTTAACTGTTATTTGTTCAATGCGTATTAAGTTTTTTTTTTCATTATGGCAGTAGTTATAATATAAGAATGACAGAATAAATCTTTTGGTTTTCAACATAGTTTTTGTTCATTTTCCACATCAGTAAAATGAAGTTTACATTAATTATACATACATTTTATTCATGTAATCCAACATACTTATAATTGACAATTAGACTATTTCTAAATAGTATAAAAAATCTTGAGTTTAATTATTAAGTTCAAGTAACAATTTTATACCCTATCGAAAATGTTAGTCTTTTAGCATGAAGTTCAAAATGGTTATTTGTGACGTTTTGATTTCAAACGAGATGTTAAGTGGTTGTAATTGTCGATATACGAGGAATATGTAAAATTCATACATATATACAAAGTACCAAAGTTTATTTCAATTCAATTTTAATTGTCTTTATTATAATCAAAACCACTGAACTAAATACATTAACAAGTTATTTACCTATTTCTGTATTGTTTGTATACAGTAAAATGGGCTAACTTGGGACAGATAAATATCTATAATCATTTTTATCGTATAAATTTATAGCATTAGTAAAATGTTTAAAAAAATTGTTAAGATACACAAAATATATATTTACAAAAAATAAGTGATGAAATTTGTAAAATATTTAACTGCCTCAAGTATAAGCCCCCAAGATCACTGCACTTATCTATTTATTTTTTATTAAATGTATAATAAGTCGCTCTCAAATGTATCTATTTTTTTTAAATACCGCATACATGTAATAAATTAA